ATCCGATCTTTTCTATAAAAATGAGTTGTATGTCTTACACCAAAGACTAAAAATGTATGTATGCATGACCTTTGTTTCTTTTCCTTGTAATTGTAAAATGTATGTTCCCAGAAAATCCAATACTTTCCGATGTATAACAAATTGTAGTCTTAAACCTTAAGACCAAAAATGTAACCAATAGTGTATTGAAAAATAGTACGCATTTTTATATTTTAATAAAACTAGTGAAGTGTAAGCTTCCCGTAAACCAAGATAGTATTGTTGATCCCTATGTGAGTTATTATAACCATGATTAATGTGACTGTTATGCATGCACGACATTCTTCAGGCATCGGAATCGGTAAGATATTTGTCATCCTAGACTGGCCCATCTAGATGTAGCGAACAACTCAGGTGTGGGGTTGTCAATCCCATATAGATCTATTCACAACTATCTCCCTCTCCCTCCAGGAGACTCTGGTTATAATGCAGGACTTAAAGGGTACGCTAGGTAGGTATGGTGAAGTGAATGTCTTACTAGAGCATTAACATATTTATGTGAACTATGATTCACCTTTTCTTGTATTATGAAATAATTATATTGTTGAGAATTTATGACACGTATTTTATGACACGCGTTTTATGGCAAGTGTCATATGACATACAAACTATGCCATTTGTAGTTTAACCTGTATACTTTTTTGTGAAAACTATTTATATAACTTTATATAAATAATTGGTTATAATCATGTCTAGTGGTAATATCTGTTTTTAAAACATAGCATTCTTTGGTTTTAACCTACCAAAATGACTAAAAGTACGATCACTTTTACTAGAAAAGTTATTTTTAGCAAAAGTTACCAAAAATTTGTAATTTGTGTTTCTCATACTTGACCGATTGAAACTTATATTACAAAATAGCTTTCTTTTGTCAATTTTACCATAAAGGTCACAATTTTTAGAAATATCAAATGGTGCCTTCAACATTTTTATACAAATACTTGTACCAACTTTAATTTGAAAAGTGAGACATGAGGGTATCCAAAAGACAACATATTTTTATATAAGTTTTTGGTATCTCCTTGTGTGTGTGTGTATCTCAAACATGATTTCTAGTAAACAAAATGGTGTTAACCATATAGATTTTGATTTTCATGTTATAAGCAAATATTAAATTTACTTTTTATACAAGAATTGTTTCATGTTCAACAAATAGACATAGTGCATGCAAATTTCCAAAGGACAAACACATTTTGGCTTGTAAAACCTTATGAGTCACGATTTGTATGTGTATATGTAAGATGATTTCAACATTTTATGCACATATTATTTCATGAACAAGTTGATGCATGAAAATATCCATTGGGTAAACGTAATTTGACTTGTATTCCCCCCTAAAAGCATGTAAAATACGAAAAATTGGGGGTATGAAGCTCACCTTGGTGATTTTCGTGGGTTATAGGAAGGAAGAGGTGAGAGTTTTCGAGCCTAGCCTTGTGTATGAACTTGAAGAACTTCTCAGAGGTATTAGTGTTCTAAGGATCTAACACACGAAAAATATGTTTAAGCATGATGAACTTGACTGCAAAATGTATAAAAACACTTGGGTTTTATGAGAAAACTTACCAAAATCTTAAGAACCGGGTTGGTAGTGTCGATCTTGGGGAGGCTTGGATGAAATTTTGGAGAGAAGGAAAGAGAGAGAGTGGGAAGGAATGGCAAGAGTGTAAGAGCTTCCACTCTTTGGCCATGTCTAAAAAGGAAGGAGGGGGATGCCTATTACCTTTGTATATTGGTCCATTTAGTGTTATGCATGGAGGTATGAAGTGTATTTGCATGTATGGTATATATATATATATATATATATATATATATATATATATATATATATATATAAAGCCATGAGGTGTCACCCCATTTGTATATTCCTTTTTTTTGGTCTTGTGCCATACCCAAAACCTCATAGGGTTTTCGAACTTCATGGGCTATTCCAAGGAGTTTTCGGTTTTTAGATGGCCCATTAAAAGGGTTTTCGGTCTAGGGTTATTTGGGCCGAAAACCTTAAAGCAAAGGCCCAAAAATTGATTTTTGTTTAGCTATTAGATCAAACTTGAGCTTATAAGAGGTTATTACAACTCGATTCTTAGTGTATGCATATATGTACTCATATAGCAATGTCATTTTTTAATACAATAATCTATTTCAACAAGGTTACATAGAGAAATCGTTTGTACTTGAATATAATCTCGTCCCTAAATTCGCTAGTTGTGACATAATCATATTTACGAGGAACATTATTTTGCTAGTGATGATGAAGTTGAACTTGAAGATTTCAATTTTCCTGATAATGATACACTATATGATGTCAAATTTCAAGTAGGAGAAAGCAGTAATCCTAATGTAGGTGAGTTTTTGAATTTTTGTTTAAAATTTCATTGTATTTCAGATCGTATCTTGTAATAATCATGTTTAATATTATATGTTAATAATTTCATGGATGAACATACAGAGGATGCATAACATTCAGAAGACGAAATTCAGTTCATTGATGAAGATACAGAGGTTAATATTGATTTTAGTGAGGGTAACAACATCAAACAAAAATATTCAAGAATAATAAATTCAATTCAGAATAATAAAAATTCTTACAGAATAGTAAATTCTTGCAGTATAAAATTTATAAAATTCTTACAGAATAATAGTTTTGTCATTTTTTATATTCCTTCACATTCTTTTGTTTATTTCATAAGTAAATTGTTAATCATGTATTTGTTCTATTTATACAGGACAACCACATGTTACACTGACTTACACATGATTACGTTTCTCCTGGTGGCACCTTGTATTGGACCCCGATTGTTTTTGATGATATCAAACCAAAAGTTACATCAAAATATGATTCATATGGTGAAGCAGTAACAATGTATAGAAACTATGCATTAGAATCTGGTTTTGATGTCCGGCTTGGAAGAGTTAAAAAACCAAATACAACATTATTACAAATATACATCCGGTATGCAATCGGGAAGGTAATCCAAATACTAGTAAAGTAGATACTCTATACATTCAACATAATAAGACTCAAAGAAGGAAATATTTATTTAGGAGGGACGGTAAAGCGAAAGTTATTTTAAATATAATTCCTGGTACTCTTAAATATGTTTTGAGTGATTTTGTCGAGAAACATAATCACGAGTTGTTTAGCAAGGGCAATATGTACTTATCTCGTACAAAGAGAAAATTTGATTATTCCCAGGAACTTTCATTCATAATTTGTCAAAACAAAATATTGTTCCTATAAAAGCACATAAACTGTATACTGCTCTTCAGGGCGGTCCTTCGGTTCGAGGTGGATTGGTTTCGGACTTTAAGAATGCTAGGAGAAATCTTAATTGTTACATAGGTGGGAGGGATGCGAAATTCCTTGTTGACAACACGAATGACAGGAAGAGAAATGTCCCAACATTTACTTTTGAGTATAAAGCGTTGAAGAAAAGACTGAATTCTCTATTCTGGGTTGACGAAACAACAAATTATAACTATAATTCATTCGGAGACATTGTATCACTCGATGCCACATTCATAATGAATAAGTATTTCTAACCTTTAATACTTTTACAAAAAAAATATTTCATTATTTTCAGTTATGTAAGTTAATATTTTCTTTTTAAAATAGGTATGATATGGTTTTTATTCCGTTCACTGGCATTAATAACCATAAAAAATGTGTAACATTTGGTGCTGGACTTTTAAGTAAAGAAGATGGATTTTCTTATGAATGGTTGCTTAGAGCTTTCTTGAAAGCTTTTAGAAAACAACCTAAATTGGTTATATCTGACCAAGATCCAGCTTTGAAAAAAGCTATATCCTTATTTTTTTGCTTATGATTTCTAGAATGATTTTTTTTCATATTCTAACAGAATCTTAAATGAAAACTAACATCATATTTTCCATCATACAAAACATTCATTGATACAAACATCAATTTCTTTAATATTTTTATTTAGCCATCCTCATTAAATTTCAATTTCTACAAATTTTATCAATCGAAGATGTAGCCACCAATCAAAAATTTCGAAAGAGTTTTCATTCTATAATTTGGAATTCTAAGTTAGAACCACATGACTTCGAGAATGTATGGCATATGATGTTGGAGGAGTTTAAAATTACATATAACAATTGGATGAAAATCATGTATGGGTTGCGAAGATTTTGGAACCCTGCATTTTTCAAGCACATTCCAATGTCTGGTCTTATGCGGACTACATCACTGTCTGAATGTCAGAATTGGTCATTTCAAACCACCACACTAATCGGTTCTTATCTTATCATGTTTATGATGACATTTAATTCAGTCATGGAACGACAAATACATAATCAAATTCTCAATGATTTTAACACTGCCACCACTTTTCATAAATTCATCACCCGTAGTCCGAATGAACTTCATGCTTCAGAGCACTACTAAAAAAACAGTCTTTTACGACGCGCAATGCATGTCGTAAAATGCTTAAACGACGTGCAATGCATGTCGTAAAATGCTTAAACGACGTGCAATGGTGTCAAGAAAGGCCCTGTCATAACGAAAGACGACGCGTATTTATTACACGCATTTACGACACGCAATGCATATCAAGGAAGGCCCTGTCATAAAGGAAGACGACACGCATTTGCGTGTCGTAACCTTACGACGCACGTTTAGGACATACATTGCGTATCATTATAGCCCCTATCATAAATGAAGATGGCACACATTTGCGTGTCCTAAACTTAGCAACCATTTACAATATGCATATACGACGTGCCTTTACGATACTCTTTTACACATAATACAAAAATATAGAAAAAAATTATATACCAAAACAATCAATTTCATCCAATAACATCATGTCAAAAAATTGTAATACATTGATATTAAAGGGATCTGATTGTACATTGTTATTAAGAGGTTTTCCCTAACTATATAACCTAATGCTACATTGCTATAAAGGGGCACTTTCTTGTTTCAGTAACTCATCATTAAGCTGTTTAAAGAAGCTCTGAAACCCTTCATGTATCCAACCAATCATCATGTCTCTTAACTTCAATATCAATCCCAACTCTAGATAAAAAACAACACATAAATTCTACACAATAATCATGTCAGTTGTACAATATCAATATAACTAATTAATAATACACATCGTATGTATGAGAGTGGAATCAGAATGATCTAGAATATACAAAATGTCAAGCAAGTATGATTGATTGTAAGACAACTTTGCAGTAATATACAAAATCAGTTGTTGTGGTGACACAAACTTGCAAAACACCAAATTACACTTACCATGGGAACGTCATCAGGTTTCAACCACCCTAATTAGACACTCCACCACCTTCAATTTACAAATATCGACATTTATTTAATTTTATTCCCTTTCATTTTGCAAATTGAGGAACATTTATTTATTTAAAAAATATTAATCACTTACTACTTTATATGCTCTAGAAGAGACTATTAACCGACATCCATCAATCTCCATTGTTATCTGGCATAGCATTGGAAGCAAGAAGCAAACTGAAGAAAAGGAGCTATAAACAAAAATTATGATATTTATATTCTAAACTTAGTAATAAATGAGAAATAAAAAGAGACAAACCTTTATTCATCTTCACCTTCAACTAAAACCATATACCCTAACTTAGTAATAAATGAGAAATAAAATGGATGAATACTGAAAATTGTTTGTTGGAATGTAAGGTGATATGATCATTTAGTTTCATTTTAAAGGTTTATTCAGTCCAGGAAAAAAAAGAACTTTATATATGCTGCACTTTATCCAGATATGCAACATTAAGTCATTGTACACATACAGAACTTAATGGGGAAAAAGTAAACAACCCTTAAGTGATTTTAATTTTTACCAGGCGATAATTGCTCCTTCAATGTTTCCATTGTGTTCTCTAAATCTAGCAGCAAAAAGATGAATCTCTGGTTGCTTCAGTAAAAATAAATAAATAAATAAGTAAAATCAACTTTTACTAAAAAAAGTTTACAGAACACATGCCAACAGAAATTGAGATTGCATATAACTTACTTTAACAAAAACATGGGTAGCACGAGCAAGGGCATTTTCGGCAACATCCGTATTTTTTCTAGCTTCCATGCACAAAACATAACGTATCTAATACTCGTGATAATTTGCACAAGCAATTAGACATCTTTCATATAGTTTGATTACTTTATTCAAGTCATCACATCCTTCAATGAAATCAAGGTAGTTATGATAGTTTTCAAGCTCTGTAACATCAAGTGGCCTAAAATTATAATAAGGTCTCCTGATGGCTGTTTCAAAATCTATGATTTTAGAATCGAAATCCTTAGTTTTTTTATAAAGTTCTTCTCTAAGGGAAATATAGGTCTCCAACTCTTTAGCTTCTGTTAATCCATCATTCGGATGGATCTCACCCTCACTTTCTTGATTCTTGAATTCCCCTTTTGCCCTTGCTGCAGCTTCAAGTTCTTCAGCTGTTCTCAGTTCTGATAAAGCCCGTAAAGGGCGACTAGCAGCTAATTCCCTAAAGCTGTCAAACAAAACACTGAATTTACCTTTCCCCCCAATAAAAATCATATAATATCTGAGAAAGGTACTAAAAACAGTCTAAAAATAATCATTTGTTCCAACAAAACAATACTTAAAAAAAACATGAAAATAAGAGTGTAATAATAATATACATCTTCTTCATAAAAAAAAAATCCAAGTTGTTGTGTATGCATGGTATTTGAGGTATATAGTTTACCATTTTTATGTTTTCCATATTTCATATTTCATCAAAATATTAAATTCAATGGAGTGATTTGAGATGGAAAATTTGACACGTTGACTGGTATGCCTTCTTGGCTGCAGCCAATTCGAATTTTTTAGTAGCAACTTCATTTTCTTCTAATTTTGTCTGAACAAAAAAACCGAATCCACCACAAAGAGCTTCGTAATTTCACCTATTATAAATATATATAAATTCATTTTTTATTATTCAATGTTTCTTTAAATTTTAAATTTGAAGTAATTGGGATCAAGTAATATAAGAGAGGACTTACAGGGCGACCAAATTTGGACATTTCAGCTACTTTGACTTTACGTTGACCAGGATAGCCTTTATCAAAATAAAATCCACATTACTTTTATAAAATATAAGTGAATAATTGCTAAAAAAAGCAAAAAAAAAAAAAAACTCACCAGAGAGAATAACAAATCCATCTGAACAATCCCTTTTCTTAATATCAGCAACATGAACAATCCCTTTTCTTATAAGGCTTTTGCAGTTTGCATCACTTTCATCTAAATCATAAGGTTCAAGACCCCATGCTTATGTATCTTCTTCTTTCAATAATTTGGACACCACTGAACATGAACTGGGACCCACGTGTAGAACTTTATGCATGCTGTCAAGTGTCACCATATGCTTTTTTTTTAGAAATAGTAATGCTTGATTAATCTCTGCTGAACATGAAACACCACCTGCATATTCAACACATCAGAAAATTTATAATCATTCAATAGATAACTGATTGTTATTATTATCTTAAATGGTTTACCTTCAAGCCTACTTAGAGCCACTTTATCAATATTGCTTCCACCTGTTGTTACAAAGATAATTTTGATATAGGTTGAGATAGGAGAAGATAGAATTTTTTTAGCCAAAAGAAATTCATATGTACTAACCTGAACCACTATAAACATAGCCAATTATGAGAAAAGCTCCCTAAAAGTTTTGAGAGAAGGGAAAGTCTCACTCAGTATTTTTTTAAGAAGAGAAGAAGAGTATCACAGGTATGAATCATGAGTAACAGATGTTACAGTAGATGCAAAAGCTTTAAGAGGTGTGATTACCACAAGAACAAGGGCAATGGATAAGAAAGGGGAAGGGCGTAATTTTGGATTCAAGGATCCCATAAAGGGAATGCCATTTCCATCACCCAAACGCCTTGATAAACTAGCTGGCTTCCTTGACATCTATATATGTTGTGATTCACCTGCAGAAAAATGTTTAACTTGTTTTATTATGAATTGAATTGAGTTATCTAAATTGAAACAATGGTAACTTTGAAAGATCAATGGATCCAATATCAGTGACAAATGGGGTGTTCCACAATTTTAATTCAATAGCTGAGATTTTAGTATCCTAAATGGCTAAATCAATCTGTTAATTTTAATTGTTCTGAAGCTGATGAACATTTCATTAATTTAAACTAACACAGTCGTTTCCAAAACATGCTGATGGATAATTTTACTCGGGATAATTATCCAGTTAAATAAGCGAGACTCAAAATCCTCTTTGAAGAAAAACGAGAGAACGGAAGTGTCCCGAACTAATACATTAAGCGACTTGACCACTTGGTATGAATGTATGATGAAAACCTAACGCGGAATTCTTCAAATCGTTTTTAGCCCAGCAAAACAAGCAATCAACCAATTTTCGTTACCACTCAATACACATAACAAAAAATTCACTAGAATCGATCAAGTCAAAAGCATTAATCAACTGTTTTTGACATAATTCATTGTTCATGCTGCTATATTCCTCGAATTTAACAAGCAGATAATCAGCAATTGATTAAACAATTTATTGTAATGCGAGAAACAAACAAAAACCACAGTGCGCGAGTGATGATTAGATAGAGAAAGAGAAAGAGTGTGTGTGTAACCTTTTTGCTTAGAAGTTGAAGGTTTTTGGTGTAGCTATGAGGTGCGACGGTCTCCATCCGGTGGTGGCTTCACAGGGAGGCGATGGCTAATGGCGGCGAGCATGGAGGAATCGTTACTTGAGGAACTGAAGATTGAGAGAAGTAGATGGAGGGTTTATGAACCGAAACCCTAGTTCCAACAATAGTCGTGGTTCCAAGAACTGTACCCCTGTGATTTCAATTTCATGGCCCGGTGACCAAAAAACCTTCGATTTCACTAAGAACTAGAACCCTAGTTCCAACAATAGTCGGTTTTGTGGCCCTATATAGAATTTTTGGCATGAGACTCCTTGATTTCTGCCGACTGGTATGGGAGAAAGGAAAAGCGCATCGTGGTTCGTTTTTTGAATATTTGACTGAGCAAATTAGAGCGGGGGAAGAGAATGGGTGGAGACATCGGTTGGAGATCAGAGATTTGGTGATGTTGTGATGCTGTTGTGGGAGAAAAGAGCAGTGACGGTAAGAGAGACATCGTGGCTCTCCGATTGAAGGTTTTTTTTGGTATTTGATTGAGAGAGAGAAGAACGATTGAAAGGAGAGAGAAGAACAATTGAAAGAAGGTAGAGGAGAACATGGCGGCTTTTCAAACTTTTGGAATTTCATATCCCCTGCGAGCTTCTAAAACGCGTGTTTATGAAAAATATATATATATAAAGCAACGTGCGCACACGACACACATTTTATCATATGCGCCCTCCGTGTTTTTTTTGGACACTAATTTTAGGGCACGCACAAATACATGCCCTTTATTCTTCAAATTTTATAAGAGATGACATTATTTTAGGACGCACGCTTTGCGTATTGTAAATCAATGTGTGTCATTGTTTGCACGTCATTAAAATCTGTTTCTCTAGTAGTGGAGGTATATACGTGCAAGATTTTTTATCAGGTTCAAAAAGGGATATCAAGATCTGAAGATAATTGTTTCCAAAAGAATGTGAATTCTTCGAACAGTGTTGACACAATTATTGTTTTGGAGAAAAAAACAACATAAGTACTAGGCAAACAAATGATGTCGTTGTTGATGAAAAAGAAGAGGAATACAATTATGATTGTCTTATAAGGGATGCAGAATACACAATATACTTTTTTCTCATTAATTATCATTTCATCATTTGACTTTAAACACTAAATATTTACAACTTAGACAATCTCACTAATAATCTTATATATTCCAGGTCACACACTCAACCAAAGATGGTTCATTCAAATGTTCTTGTATGTATTCTGAACATGTCGGGATCTTATGCAGATACATATTCTGTGTGTTTAAGTTTTATAGCATCGAAAGAATTCATGAAAAGTACATTTTGAAACATTGGCATAGGGATGTTATTCCAACAGAATTACTAAAAAGATGTTTCACTAATTCTTTTGATGATTCAAATTATGACATGACTACTATTGATATTTTTTCAACTATTGACCATAGTGTGTCTTTTTTGAGTCATGATGCAACTAAGTTAAAGTTATGCCTTGACGAGCAGAATAAGTTGAAAAAAATCATAGACGATTGTCCAAATCATGATAAACCAACACGGCAGAACATTTCAACAAGCTTATAGGCGTGGTAGTTCCTGATGTAGTACCTGATGATAGTGACATTTAGAACCCTTCAGATATTTGTAACAAAGGATCCAAAATTCATGTGAAAGGATTAAACTCTAGAAAAGAGATGCTTGAGAAAGAAAGCTCGAAACCTAAAAGAAAGTGTGCTACTTGTGAACAGATGGTTCATCATGACAAAATAAATTGTCCTTTAAAGAACGTCCAGAATTAGTTTTTTTGTATGTTACTTTAATGGTTTTACTAAAATGACATTTCCTTTGATAAAGTATTTACCTTGATTGTTCGTTAAGAATCTAATTTTTGTTACTTATGATGTCATTGTCAATTAATCTCACAATATCTCTGATTTTTTATTCGTTAAGAATAATTATATAACTAAATACAAATATTCATTCCATCAAAACTATACATTCATTCTTTTCATTACTTATAGCAAGTTATACAATAAATTATTTAATACATCCACCCGCATCCACATTAACTTAAACAAAAAAAAACTCAATGACTAAAACATAGTAACTTAATGTTAATCACCCAACTTTTTTCATTCATTTTAATAATGATTTTAATTTTAGCAAAATTTTATATTGCTTTTTACAGTATATTAACAATGTGTATAATTTATTCCGACATCATATACTATCATTAATATACAAGTATTCAATATACCATATTTCATACACATATTTCATTTCAAAAAGACTACATATTTCATAAACATATTCATTCCAACGGAATTTTGTATTGCTTTTCTCTAAATACTACATTTATATACACATATTTCATTTTAAAAAGACTACATTTTACCGAAAAATATATTTGCCAACAACATCCCATTAAGAGATAATAACAAAGCATAGCATATTCTATTAGAATAATAACAATTGACGTATTCTAACAGAATGTTAAATCAATCAAAAACAATCCAGTAACAAAATAATATTTGACCATATAATAAAAGAAAATACATCAACACATCCATTATTCAGTATAACCAAGAATTATATCTAAAACAACTTAATAATTTAATACTAAATTTTTTCAGAAACATCCTATCAAGACTTAGTATTAAACTATAACTCATTCTACCAGAATTGTCTGTTAACAATACACCACATCATCGTTCTAGAAAATAAACAATGCATTAACATAACCATTATATCAAAACAAATATTTCATTAGAATATATAAGTTGGATTCTTGCTAACAATGATTCAAAACGTCTAAAAGACAAAGTATTTTTTCAAAACGCTAACATAAACCAAATTTATGTTTAAACAACCGAAAACAAAAAGTTCAAATACTTTCATGTTAATATGTATCTTCAGAAAACCAAATTACTACTTCAAATGCTTACCGATGACCCTTTGCTTTTCTCTTTTTCTTCCTATTTTCACCTGACTCTTGAAGAAGCATAGTTTGTTTCAAAATATCAAGCTTACGAAACGTTTCAAAATCTTTAACCATCATACTCTTATACTCGTTGAAGTCAGTTGTCAACATTCTTGCCATGTATTTCGTTCTTAATTTGCCAATAGCTGCCACATCACCAGGCAATTTACCTATAAGACCACACCCCCAACGCCCTTCATTTTCCCCCATGTAAATTTCCATATGCCTTATAAGGTATACTCCACAATCTGTTCCAGACTTTTCTACTTGCCAATATATGTTCATCACACGAACCACTTTAAAACTTAATGCTTTTGCCATTGGATGATGTTGTGATGTTAAGTAGTTGCAAAATAGTTTTTTTTTTTTTTTTTCTGTCATTGAATACAACAAATACATCGAATATAGTCTTATAACAAATTTTAGAGTGCAAAGCGAGTTTTCAGAATTATATTGATTATCTTACCACCAAATTTGGTATCATGCCATATTTCCTATCCAAAGTTCCTTTTCGCTTCACATGATCTACTATGTAGTAGAAATTTGATCTCAGATCAAAGATTAGTAAGTAATACTTCGCATCATCGACTATTGGGAAGAATACCTTATATACATTAAAAACAAAGTTAATTTTATAATAAGTGATGCAAAAATTAATACATTTACTTAATATACTTACAAGCACAAATTTCTTAATGTAGATTCGTAATAGAGCAACAAAAAGCCTACATTTCAGATCTTCTGTCTTTAATTCATTCAATACATCTTCTATCTATGAAATCCCACATCACCATCAATATTAATCCTAAAAAAATAAAATGGAAGTTAAACTTAGTTTAAAAAAAATCATACCACAATAGTTGTATTGAAGAAAAATCCTGAAAGCGATGATTCATCATTGTAGTTTTCAATTTTATTTAAAAACCCAACCCAACAATCAATTACTTTAGAATGTATAAACATTCTTTGATTAAATTGACATGCAAAACCTTGGTGCAACACTTGACGTGTTCCAATGTCCCAAATCTCATCTATATAACAAAAATTATATTTAAAATCAATCTATATACATTCACATTTGTATTTTAAAAAATACTAAGCGACTCACATATACTTACCCATCATCTCTACTAGATGCAAAATCTTAATTACATATTCCAATTTCATCCTTACTCAATTTATCCCAAACCTTAATTATTCTTTCAATGTAAGAGGAATCAAATATTTTTGCCTTTTTAGGGGTACGTATTTCCCTTTTGTCATTATCGTCATCTTCTGTAGCATTATCAAAGCTTCTCCCAGATTTCTTCCAACCACATTATCCCCATTGAATCCTAACATTAACTTTTTCCTTATATACACCTATAACTCTATTTCATCCAACAACTTAACCATTTCATTATTCACCCTCGGAAGTGCATGAAATTGACTCATTGTTAAAGAATTGGTATCAATAGGTGTACTATAATTGACATCTTCTTGTGCGTTAACTTCATTAACTATCAATCCTCTAAGAGGTGAACTATTTCCTTCAACACCATCACATATATTATTCAGACATTATAACTCATGCACGTTTTCGTTGTTTGCCCCTTCATGCACTTTAATAAAAAGCTCATTCATCTTTTCCATCCACTCCTTCAGCACCACACTATCAGGGATTTTTTCCAAACCATCCTTCAATGCAACTTCCATAGTATGTTTTTCTATTACAATTAACCCATAACTATACTCTAAAACAGCAGTGTACGCCTGCAATACACATAATTAATTATTAATTACATTACAAGAATATTTTCAACAACTTTTATATAAGGAATATATAGTCAATTAAATATTCTTCTAGAATATTTAATTTATATTCTAACAGAATATTCATTAAATTACTAATTACAATTACTACAAATTAGCAAAGTGTGCAAAAAAAACTATACTATTACCTCCTCATCTCTAAAATCCCTCTTAAAACTGACCAATTGTTCCTCTTCACCTCCTGTTTCATCCTTCATATCAACATCCTCATGGTCATCCCAAAATTGCCTCCCGAACCCTCCCAAATTGATCTCCACATGTTGAATCACTAATAAATTAGCACCAATAATTGCCCAATAAAAGGAAGCCTTTTATCTAACTTTATAGCATACTTCATATTATACACATACACCAACTACAATAAAAAACATTAAGTTAATCAATACACCAATAATGAATTACTACGAAATCTATATTTTCATATAACACCATTTCACACTTACTATCAGGAGTGTAATAGGACCACTATAGTAGCTTGATTTTTCATCCCTTTTCCATAGTTTCTTCCTTGATCGAAAACAGTCAAGCATATATTTACACAAGTTTAACTTTGAAAAGTCATCTACCAACACAAACTTCCTTACCACTTTGATTTGATTCGTCCCCATCAACATTGATTCTTTGAAGTTGTTAATGAAAAGGGTCAGAAAAATAATCCTAAATATCAAACTATCTTCTGTCGTAGCCTGAATTCTTCTTAAATACTCTTCACCATTGAACTTATCACCAATATACTGTCCTTTCCATTCTTCCAGAATTTGATTCTCCTTATCACACAACGACAAACTCATTGATGTCTTTTCCAACAATTGTCAACCCCGTCATATCATGCACTATCTCTTCTGTGATCTCAATAGCAGAGTTTTTTAAGACAAGTCTTCTACTATCTAGATCATAAACATCTAAAAGATAGTAGCTTAGTTGTCCCCAATAACTTATTATATTCACTTGCATAATTGATCCAAAACCCATTCCTATGATTGCTTGTTTTTGTTTGGTGACATCCCCTTAATAGCTGCAGTGATGTTATCACATTTCATTCTTGTTGGAGGGTTTCTGAAACCAGGTGGATACTCCTTACTTGTTTTTCTAACCTTATTTTCTTGTTACTCGTTCACAGATTTTTTAACTCCCTTATTCTTTAAACTATTTACAATTGGAACTTTCTCATATTTTCTCTTTGACCTTATCTCTCTTTCCATGAGAAGTACATTTAAAGGTTTAGGAGTTTTATTTTCTGGAACTGATTTATCAAAAAATTTCTTCGACCTTATTTCTTGTTTCACGTGTTGTTCTTGTACTTGTCCTGCTATAACACATACTACATATTAGAATGTCTAGTATAATATATTCAATGCATGACTAAAACACAATACATTAACTAATGTTTTAAAATAAAAGATATTTTGTTTATCCCAATAGAATAAAAATATACTACAATAAAATAAACATACGATACACATAGTCGCAATTCTAACAGAATAAAAAACTACTAACAAAAACATTCTATACACATAGTTGCAATTCTAATATAATAAAAAGATACTACCAGAATATCATACATGTCACTTTGATACCTAATCCACTAACCACTGAAATACTCACATTCATATACATAGTTGCATTCTATCAGCATATCCTGCATATAAAGTCTATCATAAGGTTATAATCTATATAACCCTTTCTTTCCTTCCTCTTTGTCATGCTCAGATACATGACTCTATCATACATAAACATACATACATACATACATACATACATATACATATATATATATATATATGCATACATACATAAAATGTATAAATTAACTTAAAGAGAAAGAGAGAGAGAGAGTGTGTGTGTGTGTGAGAGAGAGAGAGAGATATATAACTCACCTTATCAGTTAGTGATGACTAATTGTCTCATGTTTCCTTTACATTGTCATTGATGCCTTATTGGATCAATCTTATTTACTCTTATTTCTAATCGTACATATATACAAGTGTCTTATTACTTATCTTAGCCTATCAAGAGCTTTTAACTTTTAAAGCTAACATAACTACTTAATGGATCCATAACCTATCTTTTCAATCTCTATCTCTTAATCTCAATCAATTAATGAATTAAGCATCCCACAACACTTAATTCATTATTACCTAACATATAATGCATAAATTCATACATAATCATTAGTTAGGGTTTCAAAACCTAAGTCTCATTGGATTGATTCCACTCATGGAAATCACATACAAGCTTGTTTAAGGCATGTTACTACCTTCTTTAACACTACTAACATGCTTCCTTACTCTAATCTGACATAACTAGCTTAATTAATCAAAAACAACAACCTTACTAGCTTAAATGGTTCAATTGATTACCTCATGAGCTTTCCTTCATCCTTCCAAGCCATATGCACCCAAAATCGACTCTTTATCCTTCCCTATCCTTTAATTGTCGGGGCTAGGCTGTGGGGGTGTTTGGGGTGCAAAATGACAAGAATAGAGGCTTAAAACCTTATGTTCTGATGATTAACCGCACCACAGATGCATGTTCACAACGCCACAACGATCCTTTGACCTCAGTCAATGGATACATGTCACACCCCAAAACCGATAACGGCGGAATACGTTTCGGGGTGGAGGACGTCATGTACAGTATCATCACAATTGAATAATAGTAAAAACAAGAAACATACAACCATTTCATTTACAGAGTGAGTTTAGTTACAAGTGTGTTTCGTAATGTTCAACAAACACCAAAAGTAATACAAAAATAAGAGATGGATCTTGTATGCTCCACCTTCTCCAAAATGCTGCACCTGTACCTGTCTATCTTTGACCTGAGGATACAAGTTATTTTGAAAACGAATATCAGCATAAAGCTGGTGAGTTCATAAGAGTTTAGTGTGAGTTTTTGTATCAAAAAGCATTAGAACCGATAGTGTGAAAAGCTGTAATTCACAGTCATAAGTAGTAGTAAAACCTAGAAAATCCTATATTTTCCAGAAATACATTGTAAGTGAAAACCTTTAAGAAACATGTCATTTTAATCTTTGAAAACCATTTATTGTAAAAGTATAATAGTGACTCTCTAATAAGTAATGCAATATGGTAAGTTATGCCTGAAGTCAATAATAGTGGTACCAACTTCCTTTAGTACTAGATACTTGGTTACTTCGGGATATTAACTTAACCTTTAGTTTAGTATTTTAGTGCGGTTATAGTGTATTTCTTGTATGTTACCAAGAGTGTGAGTAATAGTGGACCCCATGACCTTACCGGTCATTCACAGTGTAGTGAAGTAGTGGCATCCATGGACCTGTGCGGCTCGGACTGAAGTTAACAGTTGGGATGTAATAGCGTCTGCCCCGTATAGATCTATACATATAGCATCGTCTTCCTGTCGGAAAACTCTGGGAGTAGTGGGTAGTGAATAGAGTATCTCGTAGTGAGTTAGTGTGTTATCATCTGTTTAGTGCTTTCTCTTTTATTGTAGTGTAGTAGTCTTTTAGTATAATTCATAGTGTGTTCTCTTACTAGTGTATTGTTTGGTAATAGTGCATATTATAGTGTAGAGAGTAATAGCTATAGTGAGTAGTAGTGGTAGTAGCATTAACTATACCTATTATAGTTAACTTAGTGTGTATGGTTCTTGTCATGTTAGTGATTTAGGCATCTAGTGAAATGAGAAATACTCGTGTCCCATACTAATATACAAGATATATAACTAAGAAATCAACGACAGTCGGACGGATAACCACTACCCTAAGCCCACAATCAAACAAGAATAGTAAATAAGGCGAGCTATCGGTCCTAAGTCCTTCAAGTCTTACTTATATAATTATATTAGCGTGGTTACATTTTATAAGAATATTTGTTTAATAAAAGTATTGTCCAAAAGAAACATTTAAAAACTTGATTATTTATCCAAAATAGTTTTGAAAACGTAGAATCTATTTATAAGGCATAGCGATAAATCACATGTGATTCGAACTACGGATAGTAAATCGCATGTGATTAATTTCCATAAACATGTATAATGGACTTGTATCCGCCCCCCTAAAACATATAAAAACAATTGAAAGGTTCATTAAAGGGGTATGAACTCACCTGTAGTGAGTGGTTCTGATGACAAAGTTGGATTTGATGCTAGGTGTCAAGTGGTGACTTGAGTACACACACGAAGCCTATTTAGCATATATTGGCACATGTATGGATATAATTAGTGTTATGAACAACTAATTGATGATTTTGGGACCATCATAGGGACTAGTAAACACTTACAATGAAGTGTTATAATCATATATGATTGTATGAGGGTTTATAAGGCTATACAAGAGGGTGTATGGCCAAAATACACACTATATGTGTGTGTGCGGCCATGCGTGCGACCTAGTGTGCTGCCAGCACATGTGTACAGCCCTGTGTGCGGCCAGTACATGTGTGCGGCCCTGTGTGCTGCCAGGTGGTGTGTGCTGCCAGATGAAGATCTTGGTGTTCTTGGTACCTTTTATGAAGATCTTCAAGGAGAATGGATGATACTTGAGAGGATTTTCGTCTTCTATGTTTGAAGAAGTGAAGGTAGTGTTCAAGAATGATCTAAGGGTGGTATATATATGTAGAGTGTGCGGTTAGGGAGGTGTGAGGCCGCAAACAAGAGTGTGTGGCCGCACACTCAAGTGTGTGGCCGCACACTCCATGTGTGCGGCCGCACACTCCATGTGTTGGAGTGTTTAGCCCGATTTTGATTCCTACGCTTCGAGTTAACCCTTTTTAACACTCCTACCTTGATTATATCACATTTAGAATGCTTCATTAGACTCTAAAGGGTACTACTATATAGAAAAATAAGTCTAATATTGGAAAGAATTGAAGAGTGCATGCGAGAAGTTTTTCAAGTTGCCATAATACATAAATGGTTGACACGCTGTGGTACTCTATCCCCACTAGTTAAGTACTTTAGCCACCGCACCATGGGGAAAAGTATGCTTCCCTTCTTATCTCACATTGAACACTCTCCGTGCCATGGCAGTCAGCCCACCATGCTGCAATTCCAGCTTGACAACAACCCTTGGTTGTTTCTCTTCGAAACATTGGGTCATTTTTGTCCCATGTTCTATCCTGCATATCGTCTTTGTTTCTTACCCATCTTTATGATCTTGATATCCACACGAATTTAGGAACATACTGTACACATCTGTAAAGTCACTTCTCATTGACTTAATACATGTCTTAATCTATTAAGTCACAAACTTGGTCCAAAAAGCATAAAATTCTCATTTTACTTTTTTGACCATAAATTCATCTTCTCAAGTGTTATTTCTCTTAATCTTACTCGTATAACATCATCATAGTAAGTTAAATTAATGTTGGCCATTTTCATGAAGTTACCACTTCATATTCTCATCATTTCTCATAATTTACCAAATTGCCCTTTTGGTCAATATTTGAAAAAAAAAAGCCAACTTACTCTAAATTTCAGGTTCATACATGGCAGATGTTCAACCGAAAGGTGTAATGTATGAGGAGGCCCCCGAACTAGGACGGCAGAAACGTCTGTGGGCAGATGACGTCTTTGTATAGTATCATAACAGTTAGATATAAATGAAGTATAGCAACCAAAGAACATACATTGAGAATACAAACTTACATTGTTTACATATTGTATTTGTTCATGAGTTACAGAAAAGTGACATAAAGTAAAAGTTCCAAAACACAACAATCCAGTTCTCAAGACTTAGGTACCTGCTTACTGGTTCCCTGAGAATACAAGTGATTTTGAAAAACATCAACATTGAATGTTGGTGAGT